CCTCTTAGGAGGTTGAAACGGGAAGATTGCTTGGGCCTCGAAGGTCGAGGCTTTAGTGAGCTATGATTGTGCTACTGCACTCAAGCCCGGGCAACAGAGCAAGACCTTGTCTCAAAAGAAAAATGTATTAAATATTTGTGGAGTACCTACTACATGCTAGGTCTGTTCTGGGCAATGGAGATTTAACAGTAAAGAAAATAAATAGTATTCCTGCTCTCTTGGGGTTTACATTCTGCTGTGGGATACAGACTGTAAACAGACATATGATATGTCAGATGGCAAAGGCTATGAAAAAAAAGTGAGACTATTCAATGGGGCGCTATTTTATGTAGGATGGTGAGGGAAGGTTGCTCTGATGAGGTGACATTTGAACAAAAGAGCTGAAGCCAGTGAGTGGGGAACCACAGGCATACATGCAGGAAGAGGCTGTCAAGTCGAGGGAACAGGCAGAACACAGGCACTGAGGAGGAAATAGGTTTAGTGTCTTCCAGGAATTAGAAGGAGGGCGGGGTGGGTGCAGGGGAGAGCTGCAGGCAGGGGAGGAGGCTTGAGGTGAAGTCAGGGAACTAGCTGGCACCCAGATTGTGAGGGGCCTATAGGCAGCTATAAAGACTTTGGCTTAACTTGGAATGAATCAGGGTGCCACTGGAGCCCTTGAAACAGAGGTGACTTGATCTGGCAGATTCTTTCTTTGTTTTGTTTTGCTTGCCCTGTCACCCAGGCTAGAAAGCAGTGGCATCATCATGGCTCACTGTAGCCTCAAACTCCCAGTCTCAAGCAATCCTCCTGTCTCAGCCCTCCAAGTAGCCGGGACCACAGACGCAAGCCACCATGCCCAGCTAATTTAAAAAAATGGTTGTGTGTTAAGAGATGGGATCTCATTATGTTGCCCAGGCTGGTCTGGAACTCCTGGCCTTCAATGAGGAACTCCTGCCTCCCACCTCAGCCTCCCAAAGTGCTGGGATAACAGGTGTGAGCCACCGCGCCCAGCAGTCTGGCAGGTTTTCACAAGATCTCTCTGGTTGTCATATGGAATATGTACTTGGGTGGTGGGGCAAGAGTGAGAGGAGAGATGAACTAGGAGTTTGTGGCAATAATCTAGGTAAGAGATGATGACACCAACTAGGGTGAGGGTGACAGGAATAGAGAAGCTGGGAGGCAGTGAAGGGTGTGTGCGTGTTTTGAGACTGAGTCTTGCTTTGTTGCCTAAGCTGGAGTGCAGTGGTGCGTTCTCGGCTCACTGCAGCCTACACCTCCCAGGTTCAAGTGATTCTCCTGCCTCAGCCTCCTGAGTAGCTGGGATTACAGGCACCTGTCACCACACCTGGCTAACTTTTATGTTTTTAGTAGAGATGGGATTTCGCCATGTTGGTCACACTGGTCTCCAACTCCTTACCTCAGGTGATCCATCTGCCCGCCTCAGTCTCCCAAAGTGCTGGGATCACAGGCATGAGCCACTACACCCGGCAGCAGTGAAGCATTTGTGAACATGATCAAATTTGTGTTTTGAAGTGACTCTGATAGTGCCCAGAGAAAAAAAGGGGTTGGAATCAAGAGTTAAAGAACAGAGGCCAGTGGTGGTCTTCTCAAGACAAGAAATAATGAATGACTTGGAGCAGAGGTTTGCTTGCTGGTCAGCACGTTCTTCACCGTGAGTGCAGACTGTTTGGGAAAGCAGAATGAAACCGAGAGGCCATCCAGGCTCAGAGGCTCATACTTGTAATCTCAGCACTTTAGGAAGCCGAGGTGGGAAGATCACTTGAGCCCAGGAGTTTGAGACCAGCCTGGGCAACATACCGAGACCCCATCTCTATTAAACAAAACAAAAGAAACCTCATATTTAACCTATGTTAAATATGAGGAACCAGTTAAGCAAAGGAGTCCTAGTTGGGTGATGACTGTAACTAAACCAAAGAGACAATATGTCTAGAGGGCAGAGTAGGCAATGGGAAGGAGATTTGACTTCTTACCACCTACCTCAAAATGGCTGGTCCAACCCCTTTGTCTTTCCTAGCCATGCCTCTACCAAGACCAGCCTCCCTTCGCAAGCTACCCAATCCCTGGATTGGATTCCCACATTTTCTTCTTCCATGCAAATGGCACTTACCTCTTAGGACCCGGTACAGAGCCTACCTTAAAGTGTTCCCTCCCTCTCCCGCTCTTTCCTGCTTTGAGCGCCTGCAGCACCTCACCTTACTGTGTATCGTCTCATATTGTGCTCTAATAAATAACGCTTTTAAAATAAACTGAACCGTATTCAAGGACTGCAGTGTTTTTCTTTTGCATTTTTAGTTGGCCACAGTATATATAGTAAAGCCAGCCACCTCGTAAATACCTAGTCAGTCAGATCTCTAACCTTGGTCAGAAAAATGGCCTCTGTTTCAACCCTGCCCTGTTCCTGCAGGAACACAGCCAAGTATTGAGCAGGAATATGGGGCAGAGGAGGCACTATGGTGTGAGGATATGGTCATGCACCTCACTCAGTAAAGGGGCCACACTTGCCTTCTTTAATAATCAAATTTCATCCATCTCCTTAAGGCTCACCACATTCAGGAAACAGATGTCTACTGTGAGTCAGGCACTTGTTGGGCAATGGTATTGTAGAATTTTAAAAAACAGCTAAAAGTATTATCCCTGTCCTTATAATGTAAGTATTATACCTGCCCTCATAATGTGTATCATCTAACTAGGAAAACATGCATTAAATAGATAGGTTTTAAATAGAGTAGGTTTCTTTGAATAATGTAGGTGTGCCAGAGTGGTTTAAAGCACATGATAGGGAGGCTGACTCTCCAGTGGGAGATCAGAAGACTTCACTGCAGATCTGCTAACCAGCACCTGAAGTATGAAATGGAATTAGCTATGGGAAATAGGAGGAGAGAATGATACCCTTGAGGAATTTGAGTGAATCCAGTTCAGCTATAGCTAAGCAAACAGGAGAAGAGTACAGAATAAAGCTGAAGCCTCCGTGAAACCTTTCCTCCCTGCTCCAGCTAACTCAGCTCTGCTTTCAATGTCTTTTTACACTAATTGTCTTTACCATACTTTATTACATACTCTGAGACAGAAGTCTAACCAGGAATTAGCCAGATGTGGTAGCAGATGCCCATGGTCCCAGCTACTCTGGAGGCTAAGGTAGGAGGATTACTTGAACTCAGGTAATCGAGGCTGCAGTGAGCCATGATTGTGCCACTGCACTCCACAAAAGGACATAGCTCAAGGAGGCCATGGTCACAGGTGACTCATGGTTTAACAAGGCCAAGTGATGCTAGACAATCAGCCCGCAAGCATCAGAACTGACAATTGGGAGGCATGGGGCACTTCAGCCAGCCACGTGTCCATGGGATGGTGGAAGAAGTGATTGGAGTAGGGTAAGAAGCCGTGAAAGACCCTTGACCTAGCCTTTCTAATTCTAGCTAGCAAGTCTGGAGAAATGCTAGCATGTTCACCCAAAGAATATTTATTACAGTATTGTTTGTAATAGCAGAATACTGGAAAGAATCTCAGTACCTGTTAACATGGATTGGTTCATTGATTCAGCAAGTATTTTTCCAGCGCCCGCTATGTGCTGGGCATTGTTCTAGGTATCAGGCATGTAACTGTGATCAAGACAGATAAAGTCTCTGTCCCCTGGAGCTTACAGTGGGGAGACAAACAATAAGGTAATAAGCTCATCTCCAGTTGTTGCTAGAAGCACAAGTGTCCTTTCTATCAGAATCTGTTACATTCTTGAGTTCAGGTTAAAAGAATTAGGCAGTGAGATAACTGGACTAGTAGGAAAATTAAACACGTAACGTGATGGATAGTGGAGGTGCTAAGACAGCCTTTCCAAGGAGGTCATGCTTGAGATGATGCCAGAATAACTGGTAACTAGTTGTCAACCATGTAGAGATGTAGGAGGCTAGGGAATCACAAAAGGGTTGGGGTGGGAACAAGTTTGATGTAGTCAAGGAATATCAAGATCAGCATGTGACAGTCTAGTGAGCCATGAGGGAATTGCACTTTACTTTCTTTTTTTTGAGACGGTCTCACTCCATCATCCAGGCTGGAGTACAATGGCATGATCATGGCTCACTGCAACCTCCGCCTCCTAGGCTCAAAGTGATCCTCCCAGCTTAGCCTCCTGAGTAGCTGGGACTATAGGCACACACCACCACACCAGACTAATTTTTTTATCTTTTGTAGAGATGGGGTTTTACTGTGTTGCTCAGGCTGATTTCAAACTCCTGGGCTCCTGTGAATAGGAGGTGAATAGGCTCAAATGATCTACTGGCCTTGACCTCTCAAAATGTTGGGATTACAGGAGTGAACCGCCATGCCCTGCTGCATTTTATTCTTAATACAGTGAGGTGCTGTTGGTTTTAAGCAGTGGGTACGTGTGGTACAGCTGTTCTATAGAGTACTATGAAGCAGTTCAATAAGAAGAAATTATTCCACTGTGCAAAGATCTCCAGAATACATAGCTAAATGCAAAAAGCAAGTTGTAAAACAATATGTATGGTGTTCCATAAAACAGGATTCTGTGTTAAGGTATGAGTATGATTGAGTGGTTGGGTGAGGTGTTAAAAAACATGGACAAGGGACTTTGTGATTATACCAAACTATTAAGAGTTATTTCTGGAAAGTAAACTGGGATTGGTTATGGGGTAAAGGAGAGTTATCACTTTTTACTGCCTACTGTATTTGGATTTTGTAACAGAGAAAGTGAATGGGCAACAAGGAATTGATGTTGTATAAAAAGGCTTGGCTTTGAAGGAAACCAAGAAGATAGCTAGGTAGGGATACAGGTTTGCAGGACAAATTGCCCATAGCTTTCCTGCCTGACATACTAGATTCTTTACACAATTATGTAAACAGTGAGTTTATATAACCCAATATTGCCTCCTCAGTCTAACAAATGTGTGATCGCCATTTCTGATAGATCCTATAGTATGTTCCCAGCGTTGCCGTGGAACATTTGTGGGGTTGATCCCCAGTTGAGCAGGAATGTGATCTTACAGGAATCAGTGACATTCAAAGATGTGTCTGTGGACTTCACCCAGGAAGAATGGTACCACGTCGACCCTGCTCAGAGGAGCTTATACAGGGATGTGATGCTGGAGAACTATAGCCACCTGGTTTCTCTTGGTAAGGACCACTTCTCTGAGTGTCTTTCCTGCTGTTGGGTCTTTCCTTCCTTGGTTGCTGTAGTGGTGGTGCCCAGAGTGTAGGTAACTGTGAGCAGGGTGCTCAGGGATCAGAGCTTGTTAATCTCATGGGGACCCAGCTTTATGGGGTTTTGAGCCTGCTCTTTAGGTAAAAGGCCTTTATTTTACAGAACTGGAAATAGGCAATTTGATTGCATGACTCCTTAAGTTGCACCTTTTTTTTCCTTCAGAGTTCCTGAGGATCAAGGACTAGTACTGACTTGTCCTTAGGAGGGTTCTTTGTCCACTTGCACAAACAACCAAATCTTGTGTATTTACCCATGAGCAGGATATCAAGTTTCCAAGCCAGAGGTGATCTTCAAATTGGAGCAAGGAGAAGAGCCATGGATATCAGAGGGAGAAATCCAAAGACCTTTCTGTCCAGGTAAATGAGTGAGAGTCAGGTGTTAGGAATGAATGCAGATAATGGCACAACTTAGGGAGGGAGAAGTACCCTCCTGCAGCTGGCTTGGGATCGCCTAGATCTGCATAAGAGGCTGAAGCCATTGCCTGGCTGACACCTTGTAGGTCTCTCCTCTTCCAAAAGGTGTTTCAGCTCTTGCTGGTTTATTTTTCCTCTGGCGGCCTCTGATTCTCTTTGTTAATTAGAGATCCCTTCTGTTACTCATTCGGAATCGAACTCTCATATCTCTTCCTTGTATTGAACTCCCCATCTCTTCCTTGTTTAATCTTGCTGCTTTCACTGTCAGAAGCCCCAGACTTGTAGGAAACACCCACAGCTTCCTTCATTCTCCCTCCCCTCATAACCTGCCTTCAGATTCCATGCCTCACCACCATCTTTCTTCCGTCTCACGTTCATGCTGAATTGACTCATTACCTCGCTCCACGGTTCCTGTAGTTTCCTGCTATCCCAGTTCCTTGCCTGTTAAGTGCTTCTTAGCTTTAGGTCTTTGGCTTTTCTTGCTTTTTCCCCTAAGTGACTCTGCCTTAAGGAACCTGCCTAGCTTCCTTTTTCTGTTACCTCCTTAACAGGGTGCCTCCCTCCTGCTAGTTGCAGCTCTTTATTCTATGCAGTAGACTCAGAAGTATTCCTTATTTGTGTGATGATGACTTTGTTTCCTTCTCAGAAGTCACATAGTTCATATGTATACCTAAAATCTAAATTCATCACCTTTCACCCCCCACCAGAATATTTTGCTACCTTGCCTATTTCCCATTTCTATCCTTGCCTATTAGAATCCAATGGATTCGGGCCGGGCGCGGTGGCTCACGCCTGTAATCCCAGCACTTTGGGAGGCCGAGGCGGGTGGATCACAAGGTCAAGAGATCGAGACCATCCTGG